TTGGGTAGTTGGTAGGCTTTGGATTTTGGTGGGTTTTGGGTAATTGGGTTTGAGTTTGGGTTTGATGGGTTTTGGGCTAGATTTTGCATTTCACCCCTCCAACTTTCCATTTCTTCAATTGAGTCCTTTCTCTCATCTTCTTTTCCAATCTTCTTTGTAAAATTTCCTTTTTTTGCTCCCCCATTTTTTTGAATGAACCTAACAAGTAAAACAAAGACAAAAACATATTAGTAAAAATAAAAATAAAAATAAAATTCTACTAAAATTTGAGTTATGACACAGTGAAAGGACCTTAGTTGGACTAAATCAAATAACCTGTTTGTGTCCACCATTTTATTGTTGAACAAGATCTCATTTCGAGTAAGCCATATAGTCCATACCAAGGCAAACCACACCACTTCCCAGCCAACCCTCATTCGGTTGGACACTACAATACCCTCATGATTAATAGAGACATCTCAAACATTACTAGCCAACACAGTTTGAACACCCCACCAATTCAAGCATCTATTCTAGATTTCGGCAGTGACTTTACAAGTAAGAAATAGATGATCGCAGTCTTCCATATATTCTTGGCAAAGGCAGCACATGACTTCTGCCGGATCCGTGATGATGCCTCTCTTGAATAAATTGGTTTTAGTAGGTATTCTATTTAAAAGAAGTTGCCAACTAAAACCACACACCTTTGTAGGGGCATTTGGATTCCATACTCTTCCAAAGACATGTTTTTGGCTCTGCACTTGTGTGGCAATAAGATTGGAATACCCTTTTCTTGTTGTGTAGCTACCATCCATGCTAAATTTCCAATCCCACTTATCCTTTCATCCTTGATGTAATTTAGTTGATTCCAGCACCTTCTCTAATTCCTCTCTTGCTTGGGATTCTCTATCCAGCAACAAACGCCTCCATGGTAACTTCCATCTCCGTTTGTCCTCGATCCAAACTCCCATTTGCTTTATTTTGTAGTCCATACCTGCAAAAAGCATATAAAGCCTTGGAAATTTGTGAGCTAGGACCCCCTCCTTACACCATGAGTCCCATCGGAAACTTACTTCTTCTCCATCTCATACTATAATCTCGAAACCATTTGATAACCACCCATTTCTATTGTCTCCCAATACATCTATCCTACAAATGTCCTTCCACCAACTAGAGCCCTCCCTTCTACCCTCCTTAACTGATGACAACCAACTATCATTCCCAATACCATATTTCTCCTTAATTAGCCTACTCCACAACCCTGCCTCCCCTTTAGCGAGCTTTCCCCACCATTTACCGAGTAGAGAAAGATTAAATGCCCTAATACTCTTAACTCCCAGCCCCCCCTCATGTCTACCCTTACAGACCTTCTCCTAGTTGACCCAATGCACTTTCCTAGTATCCTCACACCCACCCCATAAAAAATCCCTCCTGATTTTTTCAATAGTTCTCACAACATTTTTTGGAGCGAGGAAAATGGACAGTAAAAAAACTGGCAATGACGTAAGAACAGAGTTTAGTAGCGTTATTCTACCTCCAAACGATAACCATTTCCCTTTCCAACCTGACAGCTTCTTCTTCATGGAGTCCACCAAAGTTTGCCAAAAAGATAGCCTTCTGTGATTCCCCCCAACCAACATTCCTAGGTATTTAAAAGGAATATCACCAATCGGGCAATTTAGCAAATACGACATTCTAAGTGTCCACTCCTCTTCCATATTAATGCTCATCAACTAACTCTTCGAGAAATTTATCTTGAGCCCAGACACAAGCTCAAAAGTTTTGAGAAGGCACTTAGCAGCCCATACATTGCTTTCTGTAGCCTTCCCAAAGAGAATTGTGTCATCAGCGAATTGTATATGTGAGAAGCTTACACCATTAGTCCCCACAACCACACCCTGAAATAGATTTTTTTTCTAATGGCAGAATGAATGAGTCCGTTTAACCCCTCTGCCACCATTAGGAACAGGAAAGGGGAAAGGGGATCACCTTGTTTCAGCCCCCTACTTACTGTAAACTCCCTGGTTGGGCTCCCATTAACCAAAACTGAAACACTGCTGGTTTGGAGACACTCCAAAATCCATCCTCTCCATATCTTGTCAAACCCAAATCTACTCATCATATAATCCAGGAAAGACCAACTCACTTTGTCATAAGCCTTCTCAAATCCATTTTCAAGATAAAACTATTAAGTTTCTTCCTTCTCACTTTGTCAATGATCTCGTTAGCCATGACCACAGCCTCCGAGAGCTGTCTTCCCTCAACAAAGGCCATCTGATGCTCCCCGATAACATGGCTAATAACTTCCTTGAGTCTATTAGCTAATAGTTTTGCCACTATTTTATACATTGCACCAATCAAAGATATGGGCCTATACTCTTCAATTTTCTGAGGATTGCTCACCTTTGGGATAAGTGTTATGAAAGAAGCATTTAAACTAGAGACCAACTTCCTATTTTTCTAAAATTCCTGAAGGAACCCAACCATGTCCTTCTTGATAGTCTCCCAGAATTCTCTAAAAAATCTGAAGTTGAAACCATCTGGACCAAGAGCCTTCAAAGAGCTGCAATCCCACACTGCTTTTTTTATTTCATCTTCTGAGAAGGAGGCAGATAACCTTTCAGCTTGCTGCGAAGAAATTGTTTGAAGTCCACACCATCAAGAACCGATCTCACCCATTTCCTTCTGAAATAAATTTTGGAAGTGCTTAGCAATCCTGTCCTTTACCTCTTCTACTCCTACAAGCTGTTTACCATTGATTTCTAGACAATTAATATCATTTCTTCGTTGTTTGCTCTTGATACATCTGTGAAAATATTTAGAGTTCGCATGACCATTCTTGAGCCAAGCCTTCCTTAATCTTTAGATTATTCCATACCTCCATAAACAATTGTTTCCTTTCCATTATCTTTGCATCACTCAGTTGTTTATGCTCACACAACCTATCAAATCTTGTAATCTTCTCCTTGGCCTCATTAATCTTACAGTCAATCTGTGTAAACTCCTCAACACTCCATTTCTTCAACTTCTGTTTAACTGCCTTAAGTTTTTCCTTCACACAAAATCCTTTCCAGCCTTGAACATTAGTCTTCTTCCACTCCTCTTCCACTATGGTCTTGCATTCCTGATGTAATAACCATTCATAAAAAAATTTAAAAGGCTTAGGCCCCCAATTAGTGTGCTGACTAAATGGGACAATGATTAGAAATAGAGCGTTTCAATCCCCATTGTTTCGAGTTAACCCACTTAGCCATCCAATCTTCAGTCATTAAAAATCTATTGAGTCTACTCATAGCTTCACCATTAGGCTTGTACCAAGTAAACTTCCTTCCAATCAATGGCAGATCAACCAACTCCAAATCTCTGATGAATTCATTAAACACTCTCATTCCAGTTGTAAAACCTCTGTCTCCACTCTTTTCTTGTTGACTTCTAGTTGTATTGAAATCACCCATAAGGCACCAGCACCTTCCTTTACTTGTAATCACTAGTTTCAAGTCGTCAAACATCATTCTTTTTTCCTTGTCATCACATGGCACATAAACATCCACCAAATTAACAGCAATATCCTCCTCCCCCCAAAGACTTGACACACCCACATAATGTTCTCCTTCAAAGCTACTCCAATTTTTCAACACATTTTTTTGCCAGATGCATATTAGCCCTGCTGATTGCCCTTTAGAAAGCATAGCAACAAACTCTAAATCATCTGACTCCCACAACGATCTACACAACTTTTTATCAACAGCTTCTTTTTTTGTTTCTTGAATTGCCAAGAACTCCACCTTCTCTTTTCTCACTAGTTCACTAACCTCCCTTTTTTTCCCCGTGACACCCAGCCCTCTAATATTATATGACAACAAAATCATGGGGAATTTTTACTAACCTTCCTTCTTCCCTCCGCTTCTATCTCCTAGTGCTGCTTCTGTTTTCTGACTTCTTTATCTCTGTTCTCCATTTTCTCTATTTGTTGGATAATTATCTGCTCATCACAGGTTTCTGTCGACCCTATCTCCTTGGCGAAATTCCATATCTCCTTTGCTGAATTTAAGTTGAATCTGGTTGTACTCCTTTTGTTACAATTAATAATTGCTCCATCCGAAATTGACTCCCTTGCAACAGCCTTTTCAAGATTTGGAATGAATTTCGGTAGCCCTCCTTACTGGGTAGATATCACTTTTAATCTGCACTCTTTGCTCTTCTTTCCTTTCCCCACCACAACGGTCTGAAAATCTTTGTATACCGACATGCATGACCTTGATTTCTTCTTCCTCTACTTCTTCTTTCTCAATTCCGTCTTCTTAAACTTGCTAATCTAGTCTGCAATCGGTCCTGAGTCACTGCTTAGATCTGCCCAAAATGAATCATCACCCCTTGCATCATTCCCATCACCGGCCGACACGCTTGCATCTTCTGCTTCGCCGATCTTCTCCTGTGATTGAATTCTATCTTGGTTACCTTTGATCGGGCTGATGGATGAGTAACCAACATTTGCTTTTGGCCCATTTTCCATTATCCTTTTCCCTATCTCGTTTGAGACAGGTTGGGCTACATTCTGGCCCAAAATCTGATCTGTATTATTCATATCACCCTGCTCCTCTTCGTGTACCTCATTACCTGGCCCCCACACTGACCACTTCCTCATGATTGCACTGTGATGTTAATAAATTTTCTGCTCCAGCTCCCAGTGTCTCTTTCACCATACAAAGCTCCTTGGAACTGCCACTTTCTCCACTTCCGCCTCCTAACTCATTAATGTGCTCTGCAAAGCTAGAGCTAGAAGTCTCATCAACAATTTGAATTTTTTGAATTTCTTGGGCTTTCCCAATTGCCATGTCAGCATCTTCTTCCCCACCATCCTCTTCAGACCAATTCAATTGGTTTTTACTCCGGAAGGCATGGCTAGCTTCATCGAACTCTTCTCCAGAATAATGATCGGTAGACTAGAGTTGAAGATCCTCATCATTCGAATTAGACTGAAAATCAAGATTGTAATCAGTTTTAAGATTAAAGTATCCATTGCTCCCATCCTCCTCTCTGCACATAATATTGTAGAATTGACCATCCACTTTAACTCTTAATACTCTGGAAATAGTGTTCGACTAAGTGGTTGAAACGAGCACTCTTGCCACATCAAACCTTTTCTTTAACCTGGTGCTATCGTCAAGAGAGATGAATTTCCCCCACAAATTTGCAATAGTGGAGAAAAAATTATCCCCCTATACTTTTAGGGGAACTCCCATTACTTTTAGCCATACAAACCGTTCACTAGCCACCATTGTGGAGGTCCATGGACAGATTTCATCAAACCACTGGCTAAGCCAATCCGCTGCAGATTCCATCAAATCCTTGAGCTCTTCTTTGTCTTCTCCGTCTAGTAACACCATTTTCCCCCCCATGGCTTTAACTTTAACAGAGAACATCCCTTCCATATAAAAACGTTCTTGTATAATTGGTACAATCTCCACAGACCTTGCCATGCCTACGAAGCAACCTTCCAACCATTTGCAATCCTCCTGCTTGGAATTAAACTCAAGCCCAGTCCAAGATGTGTCTGAGCTTTTTACTTGCCAAACTTGCCTTCTTTCTTTATTGCTCTCCTTCGCCTGTTGACTTTGCTCCACTTTTCTTTCACCTAGCACTACATCAACGTAGCTACGCCCTTGCACTCTTACTGCCTCTAAGAAGTTGAGTCTTCCTATTTACTTTTGCTTGTATTAGCTATTCTTTTCCCTTTCATCCCTTCCAGTGTTTAATTGGAATCTTGGACAATTCACCCTCAGTTTGCTGTTACCAACCCATATTTGATCAAGCTGCCTCTCCAAACTCTTCGCATCTTTGACATCCAAGAACCGTACAAAGCCGAATCTATACCCAGCCTTATTCTTCCTCCTCGGACTGTATATGGCGTATACCCTCCCAAAATTCAGAAAGGTTTTCCACATCTGATCATATGTCCAATCCTCGAGGAAGTTTGAGAAATAGAAGGCTATTGCTTGGTTGTAGATTGTCCAGTTGAAGTGCCCAAACCTCTTCCCACAAGTTCCTTCATCCCCATTATCATAAAGGCCCCTATTCTGATCTCCACGTCTCCATACTGACCTCGCACTCTGCTTTCGCCGACGTTGCCGTGATCCACTGCCATTTCCTCGCACTCTCTCTCTACCCCTCTCTCTCATCTCGGATACTAGCTATGTCGATTTCCATAAGATATTCTACTTAATACTTGCAAAATAATTCAAATGACCATTACACCAGAGAGAAGCGGTCAGGGTTTTGGTTTGCCTTTACCCTATATCTCCCAACCTCTATTTCTTCTTCCCTTCTTGCTTTAATTAATTTTGTTTCTCCTTCTACTCTTTTAGGTTTTTTTCTTTTTCTTTTTACTTAGATTTTCTTGTAAGGGTTTTAATCTCCCTTTAAGAATGGCTTCTATGCGTGTTTGACTTTCCAGGCATGGTTTGTGGGAGTTTATCAATGTTTTACGTCCTTCCCCATGGTGAATGTTGAGATTAGAAGAAATGGTAGGTAGGTGTTTTGTTGTCATGGAATAATTTTAGTAATTGCTTTTTCATATTTTAGGTTAGATGTATTATGTTGATTTATGGTTTCACCATTAGATTTAGGTCTGGGTTCGACTATAATATTTTATTTTTTTGATTTTTTTGGTTATAATATTTATGTTACTATTAAATTACTAAATCTTTATTTAATATGATTTTAGTTTTAAGTTTTGATTGAGTTTTCATCTTTTATACATTTAAGAACTATTATTATATTTGGAATTAAAGATTCATTATAAAAATCTAAATTTACTAAATTTAATTTAAATTTAGTATTAG